CCCCATCCCTTCCTCCCCCATCTCTTCCACGACTTCTACTCTACCCGCCTACTCGCTACCGTCCACCCCCACGCATCCCTTCAGCCCGCTGCCCCCACGTTCTGCTGGCATATCCTGCTGTTCAGCGCTGCATGGGAACGATGCAACGTGGTAGAAGTCTACTACGTAGCCACGGGGACAATCCCCGCCTGTCGCCACTACGAGTACTTTCGAGCGGCACTTTTTCGCACCCTCTCCTCCTATCGTGACTACCTCGCCTCCCTCCCTCGCAGCGGCGATCACTTCTCTCACTTCCACTAGATCATCCGATATGAGGAGCTTCCGGTGACGATGGAAGGGATGAATCGCTACCTTTTCCCACTTCCTCCCCGTCGTTCCCGTGAGATCTCCTCCATGTACCGACTCTACTGGCCCATTCCAACTAGGAGGTAGATCCCGATCACGTGACTATTCCCCCTCCCCCTCCTCTCTTCATCTAATCGCCAGAGGAAAACGGCCCGAATCAGTAAGTTACGCGAAGATCATGCCATCGACGATGACGTCAACCTACGCTCCGATTCGACAAGCAGCGATAAACTGGGGTGTAGAGCACACGGAGAACCGGCGGACGATGATGGCGTCACTTGGATGACCATCGATGATTCCAGCAGCACGAGCCCACAGAAGATTGCAATTGAAGTTGGCGTCAACATGGACTCTGGCCGGATCATTTGTTAATACGCTTGGTTCCTCATGCATCACTCCGTTCTCTCCCTCTCTCTCTCCTTCTCCGCCATGACATGCAATCAGGAGATCGCATCATTTTGAAACCCCTGCGCGTCACATATGTGACGAACTACCTCCCGAACCCGTGCTATCTTTCGTACCCTTTCTTTTGCTTGTATCATACCAACCCCATAAAAAACCCGCTTCGTTTTCTTGATTTCGGGTGCCACATTTTTGGCCCCCATCTTTTGGAAGCTTTTTCGATTCTCGGGTTCTGCTTTTCCTTTTCGCAATTCGGGAAATACCTAGGAAATTACGTGCGCCTTAGCAAGCGCACTGGGAATTGGGTCCAACAGTTGGGAATTCCGGGATAAGCGGAACTTCGACGCATCCTTTTTGTGTGTGAATGTTCTTGGTCGTGTTGGGGAAAACTCTCGGAATTTTGTGCGAATACGAATAGGTGTAGGATTTTATTTTCCCGCGTCGCTTTTTCGCGCGTGGATATGGTGATTTCAATTTTTGAATTAGGACAGAGGCAAGCTGTAACT